TGGCCCATGAGCTAAGAATGGTTTTTATGTTTTTTTGTAGTTCGTCCGGTCCAATTCTCCAAAAAAAAAAAAAAAAAAAAAAAAACACCCTCGAAATACACTGATGTAGGTAGGAGCATCATATGGGCCTCCCCAACAGTTATAAATCATTCAGTGTAGTAGGCTGAATTGTGAACTCCTTCCTTTCACCAAAAATGGTATGTCTAAGTGCTAACCCTGGTACCTGTGAATATGACCTTATTTGGAGAAAGGGTCTTTGCAGATGTAATTAAGAATCTCAAGACAAGATCATCCTAGATTAACCAGGTAGGACCTAAGTCCAATGACACATGTCCTTATAAGAGACAGAAGAAGAGGAAACACATGTGGAGAAGAAGGCCGTGTGAAGAAACAGAGGCAGATATTGGAGTTATATACAGACCCAAGCCCCAAAGAACATGGAGCCACCAGAAGCTGGACGAGGCAAGGAAGGACTCTCCCCTAGAGCCTCCAGAGGGAGCACAGCCCTGCCAATACCTTGATTTTGGACTTCTGGCCTCCAGAATTGTGAGAGAATAAATGTCTGGGGGTTTTCTTGTTGTTGTTGTTGTTGTTGTTGTTGTTGTTGTTGTTGTTGTTTTGCTGACAAAGATGTGCCCTGAGCTAACATCTGTCTCCAGTCTTCCTCTATTTTGTGTGTGGGTCACTGCCACAGCATGGCCACTGACGAGTGGTGTAGGTCCACACCCAGAAACTGAACCCCAGGCCACTGAAGCAGAGTGCACTGAACTTAACCACTAGGCCACCAGGCTGGCCCAAATTTCTGTTGTTTTAAGCCACCAAGTTTGTGGTAATTTCTTATGGCAGCCCTGGGAAATGAATGCACTCAGATCCACCAAGAGTTACACCTCCTCTTCTTGAGTGCCATTGCCAAAGAGGCTGAAAACCCATATTATACACATCCATAACTATTTTCTTATTGGTCTATGCGAATAGACTTTTGCAAATTGTTTTTACCTGTTCTTGTTTTGAGAGAACCACTAACCTTTTTCAGCCTGGATCACCATTCACTGGAAAAAAAAGGGTAGTCATATTTCAGGATTGCTTTTATATTATATTTTATTCTGTTTTGCTGCTTGTCTAGACACTGATTAAAAAAAAAATGTATGGGTCAGTATTTTCTAAAACTTGCCTGACCATGAGAATCACCTGCAGCAGTGTAAAAAATAACAACAAAAATATAGCTTCCCAGCCTTTTCCTTTCAAAATTCAGATTCAGATCAGGGTCTAAGAATTAGCATTTTTTGTTTGTTTGTTTTTGAGGAAGGTTAGCTCTGAGCTAACATCTGTTGCCA